GAGAGACTCTGTGGCCTCCCCTGCCCTGGCTCTCAACCAGGACAGCCATAGACTCACCTAGAGTAACTAAGACATCTGGGCTGTGCCGAAGATCAAAGACAGGAGGGTCTGAGGATAAGGGAGGCAGACATCACTCTCCATCCAGGCTCCCCAGGGTTTTCAGAGGTAGCCAAGGCAGAAGCAGGGTTCCCTGTGGTCAGTATCCTTCTGTGCTGGCTAATTTTATGTCAACTTGACACAGTCTATGGAGTCATCTGAGAGGAGGGAACCTCAATTAAGAAAATGCCTCCATAAGATTGGGCTGTAGGCAGGTCTGTAGGGCATTTTCTTAATTAATGATTGATGGGGGAGGGCTCACCCATTATGGGTGCAGACACCCCTGGGCTGGTGGTCCTGAGTTCTATAACAAAACAGGCTGAGCAAGCCATGAGGAGCAATCCAGTAAGCAGTACTCCTCTATGGCTTCTGCATCAGCTCCTGCTTCCAGGTTCTACCCTGCTTGAGTTTCAGTCCTGACTTCCTTCAGTGATGGACTGGGGTGTAGAAGTATAAGCCAATTAAGTTCTTTCCTCCCTAACTTGCTTTTGGTCATAGTGTTTCATCACAGCAATTGTAACCCCAACTAGGACACCTTCCTTTTCCAGTAAGATCCTACTCGTGTGGTATGACCTGCTACCCTACCCAGCCCTGCAGGATCTGGGGATACCTGTGTACCTCAGAGACACTGGTCATTGCCTTGGCATCCAAATATCAGGTTCTGTGGTTCCCCTGTTCAGGACACACACTCACATCATCTACAAGCTCCCCTGACCCCCAGCCACCAGACCCACTCCACAGTTATGGGTCCTGACAGTGATCAGTCCCGCTCCCACAGATACTCAATGTGGAAGCCCCACAACTCTGATCTAAAACATTTCTTTCTCATTTAATGTGAATTACAAATTCCTCTGGCCATTCAACAAACACCAGTGATGCTTCCAGCGCCCGGGCTATGTGTAGATGATTGGGGAGATTCTGTGGTTGAGAGAGGGACCAATGAACAGGATGATGAAATAGTCCGTGCTTGCCTCAACTGAGGGAACCCATCGCTCCCAGCATGACAAGTACCACATGCTTTTGGAGAAGGGCTGCTGGATTGAGGGGCAGCCCAGGCTATAAGTCACTGTGCCAGTGTACCCCTCTTGGCACCACACCCTATCCAGAGCAAATGTACAGTTAGGAGCTTTGAACCCATATTACTGTTGATGTTTGTAATAGCTGTCCCCTCCGATCTTACAGAAAAGTATGTGGATGGATAACATGAAAAGATGGTCTTGTGACTTAGTAGAACATCCTGAATGCATCCACAGTAGAAATGCAAGTGTGGCTGTGGCCCAGAGAACCGCCAGCCATGACCATTCCCTCCCTCTTTCTTTCTCAGGCTCCCTGCCTTGCTTGGATCAGCAGTTGACAATTTTCGTTTTCTTGCCTCCCTTGCAGCTAGCTATCACCATGGAAGCAGGGTCTGGCCAGTGGGATCCAGCTGGGGCCTGCTTCAGCTCTCTGAGGTAGGCCTGAGCTTAGCCCCTTCCCTTTTCTGGCCTCCTGCTCAGTACTCCTTGTGGGAGAACATGTGGCTGAAACAGGGCCCATAGGGGTGAATACTACAGACAAGTAACACCTGTGGGTCAAACCTCTGGACAAGGTCTGGGGTGTTTACAACACCTTGCCGTTCTTGCCCTGCCTGACTCTGTGGCACAGGAAAAACCAGACTTCTCTTCTTTAGGCTGTGGTGGGGTTTCTGTCTTTCACAATGGACCCATATATGGTTCCAGTGCAAAGGGAATAGCATCCTGGGTACCCTACTTTAGTTCCTCCACATATGAGATGGAGATGGTAACCTCAATCTTCAGGAGGAGTTTGAGATAACACCGGGAAAGTGCCTAGAGCAAGGCTGGCAGGCAGCACTCAGTGATGGACAGCATCATGGTTTTCCTTCTGGTAATCTGTCCAAACCCAAGAGGCCATTTGGGAAAACTCCAAAGGCTAAAATAGAAAGGCAAAGCTAAATTTCTGTCTGCAGGCAAGCTGAGAAAAACGGACCGATAGATAGCCACAGCTCAGCCGCGGGGGGATGCACCTAATGAGAAGCCAGCAAGTGGCTGAGCAGAGAGAACTATGGCATCATTTAGAGACACCAGCACTTCTATAACTAGCACCGTGGAGGGCAGTGCTGAAGCTGCTGTGGGTTCTCTGTCCAGCTGCTCCATCGAACGTCTCCTGTCTATGCCTTCACTTTATCTCCCCCTGGCCTCTGCAGGCCTGAGACGACCCACCTGAAGGCAGCAGGTCCAGGATAAGAACCTCCTACCCCCAGCTGTGCTGTCTCTGTTCAGAGCCTTGGGGACATGCCCATTTGGGGATGCAGCACAGCAGCTGCCCTGCCCTGCAACTTTAAGAGTCCTAGAGGAGAGGTCCCCCCCTTGCCAACCCACCCCCACCCCCTGCTGGTCCTTCCTCTAGGTTATCTCAGCAGTCTGACAGTATCATGGCCCACATGGAAGGTGAAAAGAGTGAAGGATGGGGATGGCCCCATAAGGTTCAAGTCAGATGACCTGGACCGCCATCCAGAGGGGAATTGGACCCACTGTGTGCGAGGCTATGCCCCTGTGTCTGGAGAGAAAGCACA